CCTGGCGCCGAAAAACAAATAATGACGGCGCCAGGCGGACCTTTTTATTTAAGCAGTATTTTAAATGTTAATATTATTGAATTTTATCTGGCCAGGGCGGCTTGTTTTATATTGTATGTTTTATATCGTATATTTGTATTTTAATGTATATATTTTAAAATGTTATTTTAATTTATTGTTGTAAGCCACCCCGAGGCTTCGGCGAACGGGACGGCATAAAAATGTTTTAATAAATAAATAAATAAATAATCTTGCCACCTCTTCTTAATCTCTTCTGCCTCTGGTAGGTTCCTGCCATTTTGGTCCTTTATCATGCCCATCTATGCATAAAATGTTCCCTTCATATCTCCAATTTTCTTGAAGAGATATCTGGTCCTCCCTATTCTATTGTTTTCTTCTATTTCTTTGCACTGTTCATTTAAGAAGGCATTCTTATCTCTTCTAGCTATTCTCTGGAATTCTGCATTTAATTGGGTGTATCTTTCTCTTTCTCTCTTGCCTTTCGTTTCCCTTCTTTCCTCAGCTATTTGTAAAGCTTCCTCAGACAGCCATTTTGCTTTCTTGCATTTCTTTTTCTTTGGGATGGCTTTAGTTGCTACCTCTTGTACAATGTTGTGAACAATGTTTGGAGGTTGTATCCCAGTACTGCTTTTCCTACTCTTTTATTGACTATGAAGGCTACTCCATTTCTTCTGAGGAATTCTTGCCCGCAGTAGTATACCTGATGGTCATCTGAATTAAATTCACCCATTCCTGTCCATTTTAGTTCGCTGATTCCTAAGATGTCAATGTTCAGTCTTGTCATCTCTTGTTTGACCACATCCAGCTTGCCTTGATACATGGATCTTACATTCCAGGTTCCTATGGAGTATAGATCTTTGCAGCATCAGACTTTCTTTTCACCTCCAGATACATCGGCAACTGAGTGTCATTTCGGCTTTGACCCAGTCGCTTCATTCTTTCTGGTGCTGCTAGTACTAGCCCTCCGCTCATCCCCAGTAGCATATTGGACACCTTCCGACTTGAGGGGCTCATCTTCCGGCGTCATATCTTTTTGCCTTTTGGTACTGTCCGTGGGGTTTTCATGGCAAAGATACTTGAGTGGGTTGCCATTTCTTTCTCCAGTGGATCACGTTTTGTCAGAGCTCTCTGCTATGACCTGTCCATCTTGGGTGGCCCTGCACAGCATAGCTCATAGCTTCATTGAGCTACACAAGCCCCTTCGCCATGACAAGACAGTGATCCATGAAGAGGGGTCCTCCCCTACTCACATTTAATATTTACTTAGTCTTAATATACAATTTAATACTAGGCACCATGAAAAGCAACTAATAAAAGCTTCTTGCCAGAGGATCTTGTAGCTTCACATGGAAAACATATAGTGTGTCCCTTCATACGTAGTTTCTCAAATAGATCCTGTACTCCCACATTTACTTGTTACTCCATCTTCCTTCAAAAAGACTCAAAGGAAAGTTTATTTATTTATTCATTTAAAACATTTATATGTTGACCAACTGATATGCTGAGGACAATGAAGCCAGTAGGGAGATGGCTAGAAAGCAGGTGGAGGGACTCCCATGATGAGTCCGATCGAACACATTTAAGAGCTCACTATCAAGAGTGGATACTTTGCCTCTCTTATTGCTTCCTAGCAGTGTCATCCAGCTGAGCTATTTCAAGTGGTCCAGAGCATTCTACAATCTGGTTCTCTGGATAAGACACAAGAGCCCTTAACAGCTCTGTGTGACCAATTTGCTTCGCACTTTGAGGGGAAAATTGCTTGGATCTGCCTGGAGCTTGACTCTGCCATTTGTGCAGTGCAATCTCTGGATGTTTCCAGTGCATTGTCTAATGGTCTATTACTTTCAGTTACTGAGACCCAAGGATATGGACAAGGTGCTTGGCCTTGTCTGATTCACCACATGCCTTCTTGACTCACATGCCCATCTTGGTTGATTGGGAGATCTGAAGAGGTTTGGCCTTGGGCCTAGGAGGGTGTCAGCACTTCTTTAAGTGAGAGAGTGATCTCCACCACATTAAAGGAGGAAGCAGTGAGACCACTCCTAAAAAGGACGGGCCTGGATCCAGGGATACTGGATAACTACTGGCCCATTGCTAATCTCCCCTTTTTGGAGCTGGTCGTGGCTGGGCAGCTGCAGGCACTCTTGGAGGATACAGATTATCCAGATCCATTCCAGTTGGGCTTTAGGCCCAGGTTTGGGATGGAGATGGCCTTTGTCACCCTGTATGATGACCTGTGCAGGGAAAGGGACAGGGGAAGTACAACCCTGTTGGTTCTACTTGACCTCTCAGTGGCCTTCAACACCATCAGCCATGGTGTCCTTCTGCACAGGTTGGCTGGGATTGGGGTTGGAGACACTACTCTGTGGTGGTTCTGCTCCTACCTGGCTGGTCAGGTCCAGAAGGTAGTGCTGGGGGACAGTTGCTTTGTGCCATGCCGGTTCCATTATGGGGTACTGCAGGACTCAGTGCTGTCCCCCATGCTCTTTAACATCTACATGAAACTGCTGGGAGGGATCGTCTGGAGATTTGGGCTGAAGACACAGCAATATGCTGATGATGCTCAGCTCTACCTCTCTTTTACTTTCCATCCAGATGAGGCTGTCACTGTTCTGAACTGGGGCCTGAGTTCAATAATGTACTGGATGAGAGTCCAGTATATACTTCCTCACTTCTGTTCTTATAGTATATCTGTAAGATATGTTGGGATAAGAGAAGGTGACTTGCATGGCTAAGCTAAACCCTGATCTACCCATCCTGAACATGACCTATTTTATTGGCATCCACTTTGGGAGATCTGCCAAGAAGTGGTATATAAAGAACTAAAACATGTAGGTAAAATGAACACATTCTCAATTACAGTATATAACACTGGCTCTCCATTTACTCCCTCAAGTGGTTTGTACAGTATTTGCAATGTACCTTAATATGGATTGTTTTGTCCCCAGACTGAAAAGTTAAATAATCATAGACTTATGAAAGGCCCCTGAGATCATTCAAGTTCAACCTCCAGTGCAGGCTCCATACAACAGGATGCAATTACAGTTTCCCTTACAAACAACCATCCAGCTTCTGATAAAAATACTTCCAGTGAAGGAGAACCAAGAATCTACCACCTCATGAATCAGACTCTTCCACTGCCCAACAGTTCTCACTGTTAGGATCTTTCCTATAATGTTTAGCCAAAATCTGCTTCCCTGCAATTTCTGCTCGTTTCTGCCTTCAGAAGCAACAGAAAATATGTCTGCTTTATCTTTTGCTTTACAGACTTCCATAAATTTGAGGATCCCAGGATAAACATGGTCAACAATTTCAACCCTTGTAGGACTTGGTTTCTAGACCCCTCACATACGGTTGTTCATATTTGGATGTGTTTCAACTTGTCAATACCCAGAACTACACACAGCACTTCAAATGCAGAAGGGAGCAGAAATATTACTTCATGTGATCTGGACACTTTGGTTCTGTTAGTGCAGCCCAAGACTGCATTAGCTTTACATCTCCTGTGCACTGAGTGAAGGAGATGGTGCCTTTGATGAAGTATTCGGCACTATCACTTCGCCCATGCAGTCAAAAGTAATTACTTTGTAATTCAGACTCTGGCAAGCTTTGTCTCTTTAAAACCATTATATCCAAGATGTTTGAAACCATCCTTGAGTGGGCTCTGCCAGGAATAATTCTTTACCAAATTAACACCATCACCAATGTGGTATAATAGTTGAGACTAGGTTGAAATCCTTACTTGTCCATGAAGTTCTCTAAGTAACCTTGGACTAGTTGCATGTCTCAGTATAGATATGAGACCTCAACTTCACAAGGTTGCTCTGATGCTGAAATGGAGCTGAAGACCATCATGTCTGCCACTTGCAGCTCTAGAGAAGTTAACAATAACAGCAAGAGCTGACAACCTCTAACAGTAAATTCAAGGTATCCTTTGTTGTTAATTACACAAGTCCATCACTCAAAAGTACCAAGAAGTACTGTTGAACTCTGCAAACTCTGAAACACATGAAATCTTTGAACCACTCCATTCCTGACAACAATCAGAATTAGCACTGGATAGCTCAACTAAATGTAACCAACATTACTCAGTAAATGTAATGAAGCAAGAATGGAAGACAGTGAATTCTGTCTTCTTGCTTTGAATGAAGGATATTGCCTCAGCAGAGCTTGACATAAGTCATCTGTTGTCATGAAGACTGTGTATGTGAGAAGGAAGTCATCCAGGAGAGTTTCTGCCAAATCAAAACGTTATGAACAGTCAATTATTTAAAAAAATTACAATACCACTTAAACATTGGATAGTCGTGACATCATTCAGGTAACCATGTAAGTAGTAAAAACCATTTAATATTTTCTCTCTGAAACAGTAGCCACTTAAAATTTCAAATAAACATATAAATAAAGTACAATGTAAAACAATCATAAAATAGTATATAAACGTGATAAAAACAGGCAGATAAAACACAGATCAAGAAAATACAGGTTAAAAGCATCAGCAGCAAACAAAGATCAGCTCAACAGCACAAAGGCATTATCTAAATAAGGCTCTTATCCCTTTTTGTTCAGGCCCTGAAGAGCCTAAAAGCCAGTGCACGACAGCACTTTCATTACTGGTGGGACAGAGAGAAAAAATATTTTAAAAATATTAAAACCTATGCCAATTAATATGGAAGAAGGTGTCCCCTTAGATAGCCTGTTCTGAAACCATGTAGATCTTTTGAAGTTAATTAAATGTTTTGAATTGTCCCTGGAGAAGGCTTGATAGGCAGTCAAGTTATTTAACAAGGAGGTCACACACTTGCCATAGCCCTAACATTGTGTAATAAAGAGATGAAACTATATTGTAATAATCATGATGAGTAGAAAGAAATCACCAAGGGCTTCTAATGATGAATGGTAGTTATTGTTTATTGGGTTATGTATTTAGGAAATAACTGTTCCCTTCCTTCAATATCTTTAACATTTTTCAAGTTCTATTTTGCAAGTTGTAAAAGCATTTGCATCTAATTAAAAATAGAAGATCAGTTTTAAAAAATCCAAGTGGTTGTTTGCCCCAGGATAAAGGTTTTAATAGTCTCATGCATGATGCCATATTTAGTGCTGTGAAGCAGGTGCTCGAGTAGGGTCAATGCAGACAATGTTATTTATCTGCATAATTAAAATGAAATTAAATGCCTTTTCAAATGCTGGAAATATTATTACCTACAGTGCTGCAGTATGTTTAAAATTATCATTATCTTGCATCGTCATTTCACTAGTTGTTTTTTAAAAGATCATAGTTAAGCAAAGTATATTAATATCAAAGGATATTAATTCAGTTTAGATTATACTGGAAGTTTCTTCAATGATTCAACTTGAAAGTAGTGTTTTCTAGTTTAACGAATCAAAAGCCAATCATGCTTTAGATGGAAAGAGCCCAGCATTAGAGCTATGAAACTCCATGGGTCCAATTTCCGCATCATTTGCACATTCCCATTTTCAGTGAACTCTACATGCATGCATGAAATTGACTGGATAATAAGACCTCAGGAGGTTTAACATTCAGGATTTCCTAATCACCATTCTAAAAGAAAAGGGTGCGTTCTCTTCCAATGAATTGGAGTGACCCCCAGACCGTAACAAGAGTGTTGATTGCGAATGTTCTCATAGGAGCTGAGGAGAAAGAAACAAAAGGACTTTCCCAGCTGCTACTTTTGATGCAGAAATAACATGTTCCTCTTATAGTCATCTCAAGTTATTTTGATAGCATGACCTTGTTCACACAGAATGCTCAAGCCATGCACCCCTTTCTCTCCAACCTTATGTGAATGAGCTAAGAACCAGGATTTGGCTCTCAACCAGAACAAAGTACTAGCAGGGAAGTATGGTAAAGTGCTTATAACCATGACAGGTTCAAAAACCAAGTGTAGACTCTAGTTTAGGATTGGTTTACAAATTCTTGCCCAAAGTTTCAAATTGGAAAACTATATGAAGTCCTGTTTAAGAAGGGAATCTTGGGTTGGTAGCAAGCTCAAAGGGAAGGAAGAATGAAGTGGCAAGAAAGGGGTCACATATGAGTGCATGCCAGTTCTTGACTGAGCTGAAGTTTTGCCTTAGTATTACATGAAAATACAAAACTCTATAATTTTCCTATACAAAGGTGATACTGGTATTGGAATAAATTTGTACATTATATGGAACATCCAGACTTATAGGCGGTATACCTCTGTATATTTGAATTGGAGAGCTGTTTAGTATTTTCAAGAAACATCTTGTTGGCAACTGTTAGCAAAAGGGTACTAGACTAAATGAATCATTGGTCTGATCTAGCAGGGCTTCTATTGCATTGTTATGAGGTTCTATGCATCAAATATGGCATAAGTATTTATTTTGTTAGTGGCTTCCCAGATGCAACCATCTCTTAGCCAAAATGAGCAAAAGTGAAGCAGGTATTTATTCCTCAGCTCAGTTTTGACACCCACTACTCTAGATCACTCTAGTTGTAGTTAGAAGTGACCCTATCAATCGATCAACCTTCCCCAACTTGGTGTCCTTGGTTTTGGTCAGCATGGCCAAAGCTCAGGAATGTTGGGAGATACAGAACATATGGAGTACCCTACGTTGCAAAAGGCAACTATAGATCAACTGCTATGTGGTTCTAACCGTAAGACTATATTTCTATTGAACGTCATATTCCTTAGAAGATATGCATATATGAACAATAATAATTTTGTTACTATTGCAAATTATTTCTACCCTTTAAAAACTGTGGTTTCTTCTTTTCTCGTAAGATATTTAATATTTTTATACCATACAGTTCTTTGGAATATGTTTAATTTGTGCATATTTTTCTGTTTAGAGAGACTGTTGTCTGTGCGTACCTAACAAATAAACACATTCAGCTTCTATGCTAAAGGGTGTTATTCATTCTGAACTCTACTGCTTGAATGGAGGTTTTCACAATTTATTTCTTTGTAAACTTCTATTCATCTCCATACCCTACTGCCACTTCCAAAGTTCATTCTCAAAATACAAATGTTCAGAGATCTAGGAAAAAGAATGTACAGAACATTTCCACACAAACAGCCCAAACAATTTGCACTTTACTTTGTGATATTTTTGATGGGCTCAATAAATGTTCTCAATAAATGAGGTGAATGTGATTAAATAGCATGATTCATGTTTTGATGAACTCTTGTGAATTGTTCCAAATGCGTCGGCTCTATAGAAATAAATAATAACACTAGTAATAATGGAATTGTTAGACTATGTATTCTGGAGCTTTTTCTATGAACCAATGTATCATATTTTTATGTGCCTTAGAACACCATATTTACCTGTTCAGGATAGAAGAGCAAATGTTATTTTCTACCACTTTAAGAGGAACTTCATAATTTCAGGGTTCAGTTCACTTCAACCACTATTATATAATCAGGATTCAACTGAGTGTTTAACCTAGTGCACTTCCTAACATTATTTAATTTATTTATATGTTAGATTTATATCCTGCCTTTTTTTCTTGCTTAAAGAACTCAAAGAGACTTACATTATTCTCCTCCTGCTGCTCTCAATCTTACTCCCACAACAACAACCCTGTGAATTAGGTTGGGCAGAGAGTCTGTGACTGGCCCAAAGTGACCCAGTTGGCTCCATGACTGAGCAGAGACTAGAACCCAGATCACCTGAGTCCCAGTCCCATGCTCTTAATCACTACACCACACAGGCTCTCAGCTCTTAATCGCTAACTCTGCTGACGTATTTCACATTACTGACCTATTTCTCTTTATGTTGGCCTTCTGCCTGACTAGGAACTGGTATGTCAGTCAAAGCAAGCGAAGCTCATTCATTCAGTCTGGTCTAATCTTTGTACTATTTGTTTTATCTCCCCACCCTGCAACTAATTCAGGAGCAGGCAATGCATGAACTTATAGACGTTTTGGCCTACAACTTCCATCATCATATACTACTAGTTACAATGGCT